AGAGAGATGAGGCAATCTGTAACCTTTTTCCTCCTCTTACACATTTTAACAAGTAACCTGATTTTTGTCTGTTATCTGTGTGTGATTTGAAGCAATCTCTAAATATTAGGAGCAAGGTTACACATATATGATGGACAAATCTGTCTTTATTAATATAACTGTTAATGTACAGTACATTTTAATATTTCAATGGGAAACTGATCAACATGATACAGTCTTATAGTGTACACTGTCTCTAACACAACTAACACAACATGTTTAATCTAATCCAACAAAACAACTGCTGCCTCCATTGGGCTCCAGATACATTGTTCAGTTTTTCCATTCCAAATGTTTAACCCCTTTTTTATTTTTTGGCAGGTAACTGTAAGAGGATCGATGTCTCCCAGACCCCCACCATTCTATGGAACAATACAGGGGAATCTACAGAGATACACTGTGCACACAAGGAGGGTGTCGAGTATAATGCTATGTACTGGTTCCGTCAGCTCCCAGGAGAGAGAACTCATCTCATTGTCTACTCTGCTGTTGGTGCTGACCCTGACTTTGGAGAATTCAGTAAAGAGAAATATGGTGTTAAAAAGCCTGCAGCTCAAACAGGATCTTTCTCAGTGAAGAATCTGGAGCCAGGAGACAGCGCCACATACTTCTGTGCAGTTAGCCAACACAGTGATGCAGAGCTGCTGTACAGGTTGTCAAAAACTCCTGCCCTACTGCATTTCACTGCAGGGATGTACAGTAGGGTGTGTGTTGTATCTCCTGTAGGGGGAGACACAACACAAGAAATAGTGAATATTTGTATTAGTACAAAACCAACACTCCAGAGAATTAAAAAGAGTTATGTCCTGAAGAAGCCAGGAATTTTAACTTACAGTAAAAAATAAAGCAAATCTTGGCAATTGATTTGTTCCAAACTGTTAAAATTTAGAAGTTGTACTATAATGTATTGTTTCACAAATATTGATGTCTGCATTTTGATGTGTTTCTTAGAGTCATTAAATTTCCCTGTTGATTTAGTAATATGACAGTTGAGAAATGCAAAGTTAAGTACTTGTGAAACTGGACAGTTCTTCATCATTCCCCTTTCTATTCCCCCAGTTCTGTCGCTGTTCATTACCTCACAGATCACTATGCTGCATCACTTCCTGAACAGAGCCTGCAACAGGCTGCACCAGTTGCTGTTCCTCTAGATATTGATGAGAACTTCTATCCTCTGAGGAATATGTCTCTCACTGCTCTTCTCCTGCTGATCCCTTTAGGTACAGCTGTTCCGATCGCTGTGACTACCAGCTCAAAACAGCTCTGCTCCTGTTCATCTGACTGCCTTTCCATTTCAAATTGTTGGAACTAAAGTTTTTCTTCCAAGGCACAGTGAAATGCCGGTTGATACTGTAGCTGCAATGCTAAAATATTTCCAAATACCATTTATGGACTGTCCAGCAGTTTATGCAAAGTTTTATGTTGGACTAAGTCTATGTAGAAAGGAAAGTGCTCCAAATAATTTCAGGTCATGTTCTGAAACTGTTTTTCCTCCTCAGGTCTAGCAGTTGACCAGTCTCCCAATGTCATGATTGAAGAAGGACACAATGTGACTCTGAACTGCTCTCAGAAAGGCACCAGCTACAATGGAATGTACTGGTACCGTCAGCTGCCTGGACAACATCTGGAGCTCATAGTGCATTATTATGTTCAACTGAAAACAATGGGTCCAGAGTTTGAAGGAAGATTCTTGTCAGAGCGGAAAGATTCATCTTTGTACCTGACTGTGCAGGAGCTGAAGTCTGCTGACAGTGCTGTGTACTTCTGTGCAAAGCAGGAAACACAATAAGCTGGTTGTATGTGGAGCCCAGACAAAAACAGATCCATGTCAATATGCACCTGCAACCACAGCCTCGGGGCTGTTATTATAACAAAACATAAAAGTCATATAAATTTGATGTTATGAGAGAAAATAAATGATTATCTGAACTAGGAGTTTCTGTTCCCCAAAACAGTCGTTATCTTAGTGGTTTGGTGGTGTTGCTTACTTTGACTTTTGGCGGGCATTCTTCTGAGACTACCAATATGCCAATAAGGTTTTTGTTTAAAAACATATGACAGAATTTAACATACAATTGTCTTTTATTGCTAGAGAAATTATCTCAATTTGTAACACGAAAAAACACTGTTAGTCTACAGACATGTCATGTGCAAAGTTCTCTGAATTCCTCCATGACAATTTGCCTCATCCCCCTGAACTGTTCCAGCATTCTTGAAGAAACGCCTTCTCCATTTCTTTGGCATCTCTTCCTGTGGCCAGTAAGAACACAAGTAATTCACAGGTGCTTAATAAAGATTATTGTTCTTTATTAAGATGTGAAGTTAGGCTGAATGGCCTTTTCTTGTTTGTATCCTGCCTTGTTTGTATGTTATCTGGTGGGCTTATCAACTCTCAAACATTCTACTCCCAAAATGCTTTCCTCCTGTTGTGTCACTTCCTGTGCAGATCTCTGCCAATAAAAATGCAGGCACTGAAAGACTCTGAAAGTGCTCATCTTTATTGGTGCAGTGAACCGCCAGACCACACAGGAGAGATGAGATCTTTTCTGGCCTTATTCCTTCTCTTACACATCTTATCAAGTAAACCTGCTAACTTGTAATTATTTTCTAAATGGAGGAATCCTAATATTTCAATTTGAAAGGCAATACATTTTTGTCCTCAATTAGAGGAGTCAAATTAAGCTTTTGGTGGGTCAAAATGCAGCCCTTGCAGACAGCAAGAGGGCTTTACCACTGAGGAGGAGAAAATGGCAAAATAGCTCATATTAAAAAAAACTTTGCCATCCAAGGAACACTTCAATTTTATTGGGTGAATGTGTATGCATTCTGGCTGAATTTGTACAGTATGTACTTGGCAAAGTAGTGTTTGCAAAACCTTGTGCAGTTTTACAAGTCTTTGATTTTTGTTTCAACAGGTAACTGTCAAAAGATCAGTGTCTCCCAGACCCCCTCCATTGCCTGGAACAAGACAGGGGAGTCAGCAGAGATACGCTGTGAACACCAGAGGGGTGCTGATTATAGTACTATGTACTGGTTCCGTCAGTTGCCTGGGGAGAAAATTCAACTCATAGTCTACTCTTTTGTTGGTGGTGATCCTGACTTTGGAAAATTCAGTAAAGAGAAATATGACGTTAAAAAGACTGAAGCTCAAAAGGGATCTTTCACAGTGAAGAATCTGGAACCAGGAGACACTGCCACATACTTCTGTGCAGCTGGCAAACACAGTGATGCAGAGCTGCTGCACAGCTTGTCAAAAACCAAAAACTGCTTACTGTCAAGAGTACAGTAACTCATCTTGATCTGTAGGGGAGGCTACAACACAAAGAATGGTGAAAAACCGTACATATGGATTTCTAAGAACATAATTTGATCAATCATAGAACTGAACAGCAAGCAGTATCTAAGCCTTGCACTGGAATGGATTGGAAGCTCCACAGGATATTTTATGATAAAGGAGCTGGAACCAGGAGTAACTGGTCCAGTTACTGGAGAAACTGGTAGTATTTAACTATCCCTGAAACAAAATAACAAAATACTCTAAACATTCAAAAATTACATAGTACCTTCAGTACCTGTATTCAGTTAATGACCTTAATTAAATTGTAGTGATTTTTTATTCATTCATATTTTCCTGGGCAAAAGAAATGACTCTACACCCAGGGACAGCTGCTTGTTTTCTCAAAACATGCATAACGTGGTGCAGGTGGAGTCAAAACAATGATTATGCTGTCCATATCTCCTAATGCATGCTGAATGCTAACTTGTAGAACACATTAGTGACACTATGGCTGATTATGCAGTGAGGTCTGCATTCCAACCAGGTGGCATTGTTACTAAACTGCAGTTCCTATATTCTCACAGAGATGTAGCAACTTTAAGAATAAGAAGCACCTGTCCCCTTGAGAATCAAACATCAGAGCATGATAGGAAGGTTTTTTAAAAGAATACTCCAGTCTGTAGATTGCTATGACATTAGTTCTAGACTGGCAAGTCATTGTTTGGCACTGTAATTGTTTGTGATGTCACTTCCCATTCCCCCTCCCACTGAGCGCCCTCAGTCCAGGTCAGGGCTGCTGTGCTGCTCTTCTCTCTCCAGCACTGAGAGGTCAAGATGCTCAGAGGACTCATTTTGGTCTCAGTGTTACTGCACTGGCTTACAGGTATGTACAAATCTCCCTAAAACTGAGTTTTGAATAAACCATAATACATTGTAGATTAACATATTTTCACAATCTCTTTCCTTTGCTTATGTGCAGCTACTTTATAACTTGGGTTGTCTATTCTTTCTGTCTACAGAACTGGCAGACTGTAACAGTGTTCATCAGGATCCTCCTGCACTGTTCATTACAAAACTCAATAAAACTGCTAAACTCAGCTGCAGCCACAACATCAACAGCTATAACCGCATGTACTGGTACCAACAAAATACAAAAGGAGATTTCAAACACCTTGGATATCTTAATCTGAACAACCCTAACCCTGAAGATGAGTTTAAAGACAGAATAATGTTAACAGGAGATGGAAGAAACAAAGGCGTTTTAGAGATTTCCTCAATAACAGCTGCAGACAGTGGTGTATATTTCTGTGCAGCTAGTATACACAGTTCTGCAGATCATCTCTTTCCTTTACAAAAACCCTTCTGAGCCACAGCCTCACAAGTGAGATCAGTAGAACACATCTGCTCTCCCCCTGCCTCAAAGCATTTTGCCGCTCTGAGAGTTTGGAAAATGTTATAATATTGATGTTTTCAGTGACATTCCTGAAAATTGTCTTACTTGTTTAGCACTATGAGATACACATACACTAATAATAATAATAATAATAATAATAATAATAATAATAATAATAATAATAATAATAATAATAATAATAATAATAATAGCTTACAGCTATCTTGTTCCAGGCCTTTAGGACTTGATGATTTAAAGGCTGCCTATAAAACATGCTAACCTATAAAACCTGGGCTGTTCTTGAGCAGAGTAGGTAGCTCCTGGCCTAAACCTCCCACACCTCCCATACTGACTTCCTCCTGCTTTGATTACTGGCCAATGTCATTTCCTGTGCAGAGCTCCTGCCAATCAGGACATAGCAACTACCAGACTCTCAAACCTGCATCTGTGTCTCCAGACCGACCCACAGGGCAGCACAGGAGAGATGAGATGCTCTTGGACTTTTTTGCTTGTCTTCCACTTCTTAATAAGTAAATTTGCCTTTCCATTTTTATTTAATTTTAAGAAATTTAAAATCTTATCCTCAATAGGTGTCAAATTCAATTCTTCACAATGATTGTAGATTGTAGGCTTAAAATATTGTAGAATGACAGCTGCACTCTGTAAGGTGTAAGATGCTGAAATACAACTATTACTATTACTGACATAATGACATAATGAATACAATTTTTATGCCAGTGTTTTGATAAAAGGTATTTTTTATTTTAAATAATACATTCCTTTCTAGCAAATTAATTAACCTTTATATAATATCTGGCATGATCTACAATAATAAATAATTGTTTAACAGCAAACTTCAAAAATGTTAATTCAGTCATAAAACCACAGTCATAAGCAATAGTTTTTCCTTGAAGATTCAGACGCTCTTAATTCTCTTTCAACAGCTCACATCCAGGGGTTCAGTGTCATCCAGACTCCCCCCATCCTCTGGAAAAATGCAGGAGAATCTGCAGAGATGCGCTGTGAACACCAGGATAGCAGCTACTATCAGATGTACTGGTACCGACAGCTCCCTGAAGAGAGAATTCAACAAATAGTTTATTCTGATACCACTGGCAAACCTGACTTCGGAGAGTTCAGTAAAGAGAAATATGAAGTCCATAAAACTATTGCTCAAAATGGATCTTTCACAGTGAAGAAGCTGGAGCCAGGAGACAACGCCATGTATTTCTGTGCAGCTGGCAAACACAATGGTGCAGGGCTGCTGCACAGCTTGTCAAAAACTCCTCCTGCTCTACTGCATACTCGTGAAAAAGGTGTAGTGAGTCATCAGTCCTGCAGGGGGGAGCGTAGCACCAGGAATGGTGAATATCTTATATACAGTAGGAGCTGACTGAATAGCCCCAAAATAACCAGAGTCCTAAAAGATTGTAACCATACAGATGCAGCTATTCAAAATGCACGGTACAAACCCGTACATCACGCAACTACCCACAAGCCACCAAGGCGTACCGCGGTACGTGATTGGCTGGCCAAAATGACCAACAGGGGCACTCGTGGTGCATTGGTCTGTAGTGAAAAGATTTAATCATTTAATCTCTTTACTGTACATATTTACTGAATATGTACATTACTAAATATTTATATGGAATTTTACAACTAAAGGGAAATTTTAGTAGCTGAGCATAAAAAGAAGAGGAACATAACGCATCTGAAGGTCATAAACGATATTAATTTAGGAACATAAACATATTATGTAAACTGTACATGGCTGGTATTGGTAGTTTAAAGAAAAAATACACACCAGTATTCCATTTTCTCCCTAAGCATTTTAAGCATCAAAGTCTTACAGTACATTACTGCATGGACACATATTCAAGTGTCTTTTTAAAGAAATAATTTACATATGGACAGATTTTCTCTAAGTGCTCTAGTTAGGGTTAGGGTTAGGAGATACAGTAGTCTTTCTCTCACAAACCCAAGACATGTTGTCTAGGTTCAGTGGCATATCTAAAATGGACATTGGGTGTTTCCTGCCTTGTACCCAATGTCTTTCAGAGTAAGCTGTGGCTCACTGTGACCCTGCTCTGGAGTAAGAGGTTATTGAAAAAGGATGTCTGTGTTTCGCCACAGCTGCAGGTATACTGCAAACATCATCAGAAATTATTTGTAATGTTGAAAAGAATGTGTTATCAAACAGACTGAGTCAAAAATCATTGTTGTGGTTAAAAATAATCCATTTATAATATCCCCAGACACGGGACATCTAAAACAGAATTTAAGAAAAAACATTGATGGGTTTAATTTGTCCCAAACCACGCATAAACATGCTTTGAACAGTGGACAAATTCCTCAAATTTTTCCCAGACTGTGCGTGAGAACAACCAAGAAATTACACCTAGAACAGTTTCTAGCACATAACTGTTTAAATTGAGCTTGAAAATACAGATCGTATGAAGGTGTTTTACTGGTTGAAAAATCTTGTGATGTGATCATGTTATTTTGCATCTGAGGATCATTTAACATTGACTCACTATTAAAGAAAAGACTGGACATGCCTTGAAAATCAATAATGATAAATGCTAGTGCTCTGTTCTGTCAGGGAAGTTCAGTATAACTATTTATTGACCTCATTCGTTTCCCTGTATTTTTAAAACCTCAGCTGTGTAATTTCCTGTGCAGAGTCTCTGCCAATAAGAACTCCAGTGGTCTTATTTTTCACACTCTCTTCGTGTTTCTCTGCATCAGAGCAATGAGCCACAGCACAGCAGAGGAGAGATGGAACATTTACTCAGTTTGTTCCTTTTCTTGCACACATTATCAAGTAAATCTAACTTCTTCCTTGTTTGTCTCTTATTGGAAATAGAAAGTGTAAAATATTATATAGAAAAGCAATGTAATCTTGTATCTCTCAATTGGAAGTGTTGACAGAGAAAATGTGGAGCAAATTGTGGCCTGGAGCAAAATAATTGAAAGTTGTCCATTGTTTGTCTGCAGTAACAGAGAATACTTACTGTTATTAATCAGCCCCTGACAGTTGCTTGACAATGGACTCCACTCAGCTTGATTCACAATAATTCATGTACAGTAGCAGCTGTGAAATCTTCCAGAATTCTCCAGTGTTTTCTCTACCTGTGATGACCCTCTTGTTTCTGTTCTGTCAGGTCTTGCTGAGGGAATCAGTGTCACCCAGACTCCCCTCATTCTCTTGAAGGAACCAGGGAGGTCTGCAGAGATGCGCTGTGAACACCAGGATAGCAGCTACTATCAGATGTACTGGTACCGACAGCTTCTTGGGGAGAGAATTCAGCTCATTGTCTACTCTACTGCTGGTGGTGACCCTGATTTCGGAGAGTTCAATAAAGAGAAATATGAAGTCCATAAAACTATTGCTCAAAATGGATCTTTCACAGTGAAGAATCTGGAGCCAGGAGACAGTGCCACATATTTCTGCGCTGCTAGCAAACACAGTGATATAGAGTTCCTGCACAGCTTGTTAAAAACTCCTCCTTTGCTCCTGCACAAGTGCATGGTACAGGGATGTAGTAAATCATTTGTCCTCTGGGGTGCAATACAACACAAGATATAGAAACTAACAACAATATGTATTCTATTAAGAGCATCAAAAAGTTTTTTAACATTTCTTTACATTTCACACCTTGTTACACTGAATTACTTTTGATTAGGAAATATAGGGGTTCATCATCACAACATGTCAAAGCAATTTTTGTCTTCATAATGAAAAATGCTGTTAATTTGTCATGTTAATTATTTGATGAACAGGTCTCATATAATTCTCACCGGGATAGTTCAGTTCATACAATGCAAAGATGATTAACATAGCCTTAAATTCTTCATTAGAGGCCAGCATGTTAAAGCACGTTCTTTAATAATTTTATTTCTGTTTTGTTTTTTGCTGTCATTTTCACCTCATTTCCTGTCTCTCCTTCCACTCAGAGCCCTCAATCCAGGTCAGGGCTGCTGGGTAACCTTCTGGGATTGGCTACCTGCCAGCAACCAACTGAAACAAATGAACCCAAATGTCCCTTCTGGTTTCTGAGTTACAGGGTCCCAGTAGTAGTACCGCACAGTTCTGCATAATCAAATCATAATTGAAGACTGAGATTAAAGTGTCCCTGGCCTATTTCATGTCAGGGACTGTGTAGTCAGATAAAACTCCACAAAGGGAAACGCAGGGCAATAGTTACTTCCATGAGGTGATCCACAGTGCAGGCACTCAGACTCAGAACTGGACTCAGAGGAGTTGGACTTTGGGGCAGCCACATTGCCTTTGCTGCTGTACCCAATGTCAGCGTCCTGAGTCTTCATAGGGCTCTGGGAGGAGGGAAATCGAGTGTTGTCTTTACACATAAAACATCAGCCCCAGTTACTGAATGAGAACACAGAGGAAACCTACAGTACATGGCTAAACACAGGGCACCGGGCCACTGAACACTGACCTGTTCAACTGAACACTGAACTGAACTACTTTCTCTCATGACTCCCCAGTGGCAAAGTCTGATCTCGTTTCCCTGCCTGTCTGGTCGCTTGCCTGTATCCTGACCTGCCCACACTCTGCTCAGGGACCCTGTCCCTTGTTGTGCTTGCCTCCACCAATCCAGCCTGGTTCTGTTGGGTCCCTGCTGGTGTGGCCGAGGGTTCAGCTGACTGCTGTCTGAGCGCACACTTCTGTACCCCTGGATTTTCCCCCTGTGGCTCTCCTGTCCCCATCCGTGTGTGCTGTGGTGAGGTCTTCTCCAGCACCAGACTCATGGTCATTGTGTGGTGCTGTTGCTGGCCAGGATCCTGGCAGCTCAGTCCTGCACTCCGGAGTTTAGCCCAGCTGCTGGCCCTGGTGGTCCTTCCTATCCCCACCAGCCTGCTTTCCAGTCCAGTGTCCAGCCTGCACTTGGCCCCGTTCCCTGTCAGCCTGCACTCCAGTCCAGTGTCCAGCCTCCACTTGGCCCTGTTCCCTGTCAGCCTGCTCACTGCCCTTTGGGCTCTGCCTCAGCCTGCCAGCCTCTCTGCCAGCCCCATGCACTGACCTGCCACTGAGACTTGCACTGGTTCAAGTCCTCAGTGGTCTAATGGCTCATGTCCCTGACAGGTCCTGACAGCTCTCACCTGGCTCAGCCCAGTCTCTGGAGGACACCTGCCCTGCCCTCTGGAGGATACTCAGCCCAGTGCTCCCGAGAGCATGTGTTCCATTCAGCCTGCTTCCTGGCGAGACTCTAAGCAGATCAACAGGATGATGTGTGCTCTATTATTCCTGGCTCCAGCCCTGCCCTGTCCCTAATTATCCTCCCTGTATCTGTCCCAGCGAAGCAGAGTCTATTCTTTACATACCAGCCACTACTCTGGACTGTGACGCCCTTCCTCTTGGGTTTGTAACACCTCCTAGCCTGCTCCTGCTGTCCAGGTGGGCAACAAGGTGTAACAAGTAGAGGGTGGAATGTTTTCGCAAATAGAACATTGTTGCCTCCTCTGTAACTCTGCTTGTTTTTGTTTTGTAGTTTATCACCTTCTTCACTTGCTGTGATGTCACTTCCTGTTCCTGCACACAGTCAGGGCCCTCAGTCCAAGTCAGGGCTGCTGTGCTGCTCTTCTCTCTCCAGCACTGAGGAGTCAAGATGCTCAGAGATATCATTGGAGTCACTGTCTTACTGCACTGGCTCATAGGTGAGAATGGCAGAATGAGAAAAACTGTCATCATAAATATGTGTGTTCCGTTTATCATTTCTATGTTATTTTTTGTCTTTTCTTAGATTCTTCAGAAAGTGCCAGTGTTGATCAAGACCCTCCCGTTCTGATTAAGAAAGTTGGAGAATCAGTCCAGCTCAGCTGCACCAACACGTACACCAACTATCAATACATGTACTGGTATCAGCAGTCACAGAGCTCAGGGGCTTTGAAGCTGATTGGATACCTTCAGTATGCTGCACCAACTATTGAAGATGAGTACAAAGGGAAATTTAATGTGACTGGAAATGGAGACAAGAAGGGATTTCTGCAAACCTCAGTAGAAGCTTCAGACAG